GTTACTTTAGAAAGAGACGAACGTGAATTAAACTAAGATTAAAGTTAAGCGACGTTTGGTGAAACTTGAACCCCCCTTGAAGAATGCTTTGCCGCGCGCTAACGCCATCTCGTAAACGTCGTAGCTGGGAAGTAACAATTACGCCAAGGTATGCGGCTTACATGGTAAAGATGGAAATTTACCGCTCACATTTAAAAAAACAGAATAAAAGAAGGTTTATTATAAATTCTAGTGCAAATTCACGAGAATAAAAAGTATTAAATACTGAAAGAGCTGTTGCAATTTCATTGACTCGTGTACGAAAATGCGAATGATACAAGATACTGTAAATATTAGACGTCTTGAAATTTGCAACTTCTCTACGAGAATGTGCGGCATCTCGCCTGTCAAATGACTGACAATGTTGCGTATTACGTTTGATTACGTTCTCGTACGAGGCATAAAAATTACGGATGGTCATGACTGCCGCATTTCTACACAATTGTAAGATTGGAATTAAATTTTAATTTCTCTCGTCGCCCATTATGACGGATGATACGTCGAGCGAGAGCATTTTAGAACGGCTATTCGACTACGGTAAATTGATCTTGCAACCATTAGGATAATCGGCACGCAAACGGATGCTATACCCTGGTGAAAATACCCTGGTGAAGTTTTTAGAATTTTCCATGACTTTTATGTAAATTTCAGAGTTTTCACGATTTTTCAATAATTTTTGTTATTTTTGTACAAAAGTTTTTCGATTTTTGTCTACAATTTGGATCTTCAGAAATACCTAGAAAGTTATATTTTTTAAAGAACTTTCCATGTGTATAAATTCTGAAATATTCTGAAATTTCTCATTCTATAATTTAAAACATTTATATCTCAAAATATTCACATAAATGAAAAATTCTACGAAAAGAAGTGGACTTTCTCAGTATTTCTGAGAAGTGTATCAATTTGTATAAAAATTCTGAAAGAAAAATTTGCACCAGGGTAACCTCGAATCGATTAACCACTTCAGCGGCATTGACGCCATATAGCGCGGAAAATGTACGTGTCCCTGTGGGCATTGACGCCATATGGCGCACATCGTTTAATTTTTAATTGACTGGCCCGATTTAAAACTTGGTACCCAAGGGTTTTTTGGGTCGTTGAATACAAATTCGCGATCAAAATTTCAAAATTCAAAATGGCGGACCTAATATGGCGATCGAAAATAATCACAAAATCCAAAATCTTTTCGATTGTTAAGAAACCTAGTATCTAGGGGTTTTTTGGGTCGTTGAATACGAATTCGCGATCAAAATTTCAAAATTCAAATGGCGGACCCAATATGGCCGCACAAAAAAATATAAAAATTCAAAAACCTTGTCTCCTGACAATTTAATGTTTATGAATTCAGATTTATGTTCCTATATCTTTTTTTTATTTTTTTGCGTTTTTATTTTGTGCGGGACCTTTTTTTGCGGGAAACTAGGACCAACACTTAGACACTCCAAGATGAACGTAGCTATAATACGAATACATACGAATACACAAATGCTGAAAACTAAACGAAAAATTAAATGGTGAAAAATAATGAATACAATAATTTTATCTATTGATAAAAACTTATCCGCCATTTTGAATTTTTTATTTTGATCTCAAATTCGTATTCAACGGCTCAAAAAACCTCTGGATACCCCTAGATTTCTTAACAATCGGAAAGATTTCGGACTTTGTGATTATTTTTGGTCGCCATATTGGGTCCGCCATTTTGAATTTTAAAATTTTGATCGCAAATTCGTATTCAGCGGCCCAAAAAACCTCTAGATACCAAGTGACATTAAAATCCGATTACTTTTTTTTCTTGCCCACTGGGGCACAAACAGTGAAATTTTGTCTGCCGCTGAAGTGGTTAATCACATGTTACACGTCGCATTCTATTTATAACATATACATTTAGTAAAATCCCCGTCAGTATCTATTGTAAAAATTATTTTGAATTCTTTGTACAGTACAACTAGGACTGGAATGGAGTTCGGAGAAACTAGAGTCGGCGTGCCCTTCCAAAAAAAGAAAAACAAGAAAGAAATGTAAATTGGGACAATCTGACGAAGATACCGACATAGGTCCACCTTGTACGGAGCAACGGCCATACTATACACTTCCTAGTCAAATCTGTCCGAAAGCGGCATCTTGCTGTTACATAAAAATGCAGGTACAAAACTACAATCCAATATTGTTTTTTAAACTGATTACTGATAATTATGCTGAATCACCGGTTGAATGGGCGAATCCAAACTACTGCTTTTGTAAGAAAATTATATTGTATTATTAAAATTAACTACAACTATTAATTAGAAAAATCGAGGAAATTAGGAAAATTATTCAGTGGACTTCAGTCGTAATGGCTTCCGGATGGTATTTAGGTGGACTCTTCAGAAATAGAAATGATTAGTTGCGGTATCTGATGACATTATATCAGTTACTGAGCAACTAATCAGTTTTTCTAAAAAATTTTTCTTTGAGAGAAAGTACTTTGAAAGAGTGATTGCCCAGTAACTGATACACTGTCGTCAGATAATGAGCAACTAATCAGTTCTTTTTCTCAGGGAAAATTTTTTAAACATACACAAACTGAAAAGATACATACACATATGTAAAATAAAAATTATTACTCTTACAATTATGCACAATTATCTTGATGTGATTAAAACGTATTATATGCATACATTACCTTCAATTCTTTTATTTAAAATTAATTAAGAATTTTTGCCTCCCAGTGAGAACAACAAAAAAAAACAACGTCAGTATTTTCTTGACCACGCATGGCATCTTTAATAATACAGAAAATTTATTGCGAAAAATATTACCGCAGACGTTGTTAATTAATTACCGCTGGCGACATTGAAGAATTCTGATTAGTTAAAGAACATTTAATTATTTTCAAAAACTGACGGTTGGCACGCGGTTTCGACCCCATTCACGTCGATTCGACGTGAGTAGTCTTTACTTACTTCATTCTTTCATTGAATTCTTAAATTGCAATAATTTGCAGGATCCTTATGCTCCATGCTGCTGCGAGCCCAAGTCACAACCACTACCATGTCCCCCTAAATGTCGTCGGCAACAACGAGAACCAACCTGCGGCTGTGATCTCTGCAAAAAGAGCGCCGATAGCAAGTGCTGTGATCCGATCATGGCTTTTCGCAGTGCAGCCAGCAATTCCAAGTGTTTCGAAAAAGCGTAAAAATTCATAAGATACAGTCCAGCGCAAGATTACATGCAAGAAAGCATAAACGGTAAACGTGTGTTAAAAAAGGAAAAAGATGTCAAAGAAGATAATGGCGATCGCAATCGTCGAGTAATCAGATTTTCTCTTTCTCCTACGTAATTCATATTTGTCTCTCTGAATTATTTTTCGCAATTATTTTTATCGCACGATAATTATTTTGTACGAATCGGCATTTGTTGTGATTTGTTTTTCAGCTCATACGACCCGATAATCTCTGTGGCCCCGAAGTTCTAGTGGTGACATTTTACGCAACTGATAGGTATTTTTGTCACAAATATTATTAAGATATCTCTAAACCGTTAGAACGATAAATGGTAAATTACTTTCCAAGTAAGTACTAATCAAATTCTATTTATGTTCCAGTGATCCGCGGGTAATGGTCCCCCCTCAAATTCTGCTTTTTCTACGTGTCACAATATCATCGACGAGAAAAACAATAATTTTAGTAATTAATGATCGAATAATTAATGGTCACCTTCGAAATTATCTTAGCGTATTAAAGCTATTTAACCCAGCAAGAAATGACTTGTCGATCGATGCCGAAACAATATCGAATCGACATCGTTTCAACACAGATCGACAAATTATTTCTCACCGGGAAAATATATTCAATTCGAATATATATTTTCATTCGATCTGTCAGAATTTTGCTTACAATTTTACATCGTGTATTTTTATATATGTTTTATATATATTCTCATTCTTCACAAATCTTATCTCTCTCTCTCTCTTATTACATAACAAATAGAATTCTATCTTGAATTCCGATATGTGTTAATTATAAATCGCTTAGAATGATCTTAAATAGATTAATCTGTTTCGGACATATGTATTTCACATTTGACATCCGAGAAGTAGAGGACGAGTCTGTATGTAAGGGTCACTTGAATGAAATCGATTTCAAACGGAAGGAACCTGCGGGTTTCTGTTTACCACGCAGGAATCACTGGAATTCAATATTCTCCGATACGATCATAACAGTAAATGCGCGCGCAGTTACTCAGTTATTCAGGGGGGAAAGTTAAAATTAGGTGTTTCGCTCGCTTTCAGCCAGAAACACGTCAAACCATACCGGAGTAATCTTATCGGTAAAGAGCAGGCGGAAGCACGCAGCGCGATCGAGCCAGTTGTCTTCAAGCCACGCCCGTTCCAGCCGTCCGAAGATTCCGTTGCTGTGATTACACGTAAGTCGACAACAAATGTGTCTCGAATTGCAATTTATATATTATGTCTCTCTGTCGCGTATGTATAATACGTACATACGCCATGTTTCTGCGACCGGCCAATTTATGCCGCACAATATCTGCACGAGAATTCTGCAACTTGCTATCGAGCCCAGTGAGAAATGATTCGTCGAAACGACGTCGATTCGACATCAGTCGACGAGTCATTTCTCGCTGGGAGGCTTTTCGGTATCGTCAACTAGCAATAACCCATGGAAAGCTGAGTCTTTTTCGAAGATCTTCTTTGCCATTGTCTGTCGCTGATTAAGGATACAACAGAAGCATTGATAGCAAGTTACAGAATCCCCATACTGTAACGATATCTGCATGGTAATGGGGAGTTTAACGGACCCGTTACCATAAGATAAATACGGGTCACTGTATACGTTCGCGATAAACATGTATTATAGTTATCAATCGTTCGTGCATCAGTAATATTTTCGGATATCTTCAGTGCCTCATTGACCGACACGTAATCGGGTTTTTCCGACGGCTGGCCCGGCTTCACCAGCGCCGTAAAACTTTTATTTTTATTGTCAGCTCAACTCATTCCTTATCTCTTTTCGAGGAAACAGAAAGAGATAAACATGTCCCCGGTGAAAATTTTTCTCAGAATCTTTCATAATTTTTATGTAAATTTCAGAATTTTTAAGATTTTTTTGCAATAATATCATAAGTTTGTACAAACATTTTTAGACTTTTTGTACAAACTGGGACACTTTTCCGAAGTACCGAGGAAGTTTATATCTTTTCTAGAATTTTTGATATGCATGATTTCTGAAATTGCTCCCCTTGGGAAAATATACCTTGGAATTTTCTCAGTATTTCTGAATAGTGTATCAATTCGTATAAAAATTCTGAGAACAATTTTCACCAGGGGAATTAAACTAATTGCAAGATTAAAGTTAAGCGACGTTTGGTGAAACCGGGCATTAGGTCAAAACTTCCGTTTATTACCGTTTCGATTTCGCAAAAGCAATCGATCGCACGGAAAGCTCTCGAGTAGACCGTCTTTTGTCGTCGGACGACGTTTTGTTAACAGTCTGACGGACAAATCGTTTAAATCGTATTAAAACCGGAGAGGCGTATATCTTTAAAGTTACGTAATTAGTTTCTTATCTTATCATCTCACGAATCTAGTGAATTAAATCCTTCGATTATTGCGGCGATAATCACGGCGTACGTGCAATGTTTGAGAACGGTAAGTTCCTTAAAGAATTAAAGCCGACATATCTTTTTCCCGAATTAACTCCGGAGCAATTTCCGATTTAAGCGATGAAGAAGGAAAGATTTCGCGAACTAAGCCCCGGGATATTGCTGCTTAATAATTATTCACACTTTACTCTGATCTGTATCGATATTATTACTATCCTTGTCTTATTAAAAAGCAATCAATTAGCAATCGATCAATAATATGCTGTTATCAGTCCCGTTAATAATAGCAATCAATTGTTATTACGTTTCGCGCCGAGTAAAATTTTAATGAATAAAAAATCCTCGATAAATGGAATCACATTGTTGGGCGGAACAATTCTCGTACCTACTTTTTATTTCCGTAAATTCTCGCCCGACCGAGATCGCGCGGGATCAGGGGCTGGATTTTTGAATTCATTCGAAGGCGAAACGTATACGAAAATCCTGCTCTGACAGAAAAGTTTAAAGTCGATTGGTTAAAAGCCATGCGAATGGCCAATCGATTTGCAACTTTTCTGTAAGAGCAGAATTTTCGCATACGTTTCTCCTCCGAATGAATTCAAGAATCGAGCACCAGCTCGACGCGATGTCACGTCGCATGGATGATTTCGTATCTCGTCCGATAAGTCAATCGCGCAGCAGAGCCGTTCGCCAACACGACATACCTGTTGATACGCTTGGTGCGTGCGTCATTGCGTGGCTGTCGACCATGGCCCTAAGAACCTATGGGCGGAACCCGGGCTGCTTTCGCGAGAAGATCCAAATGATCCAGATTAAAATGACCTTGCGCTATGATTGGTCAAATCTGAAATTTCATAGCATTACATTGAAATTTCAGATTTGACCAATCATAGCGCAAGGTCATTTTAATCTGGATCATTTTGATCTTCTCGCGAAAGCAGCCCCGGTGGTCAATTCCATGGTGTGAAGATACAAGGTGAAGCAATCCGGTGCGCAGTGTCAAATCAGAAGTGGCCCAAACTGCCGAATTGACCAACCAGAAATTTGCACCAACCTCCAAACTGCAAATCATTGCGGTTGAATGCGGGAAGAACCAATGAACAGTCCGCCCCAAAAATTGGTTACATGCGCAATGTTTCACCTTGTATCTTTACACCATGATCAATTCTGTATCTTAAGTCGGCGGTATACGACGCTTTTTTTCTCTGCTGGATTGCTTGCAATCTATTAAATTACTATAACTGCAGCACTCAGGATTTCTAGTAATTTACTAAATCGCGTGTCATCCAGCGGGAAAACTAGCATCGTGTGCCGCTGGCTTTACACTATAGTGAAAATGTTAAAAGTGAGTAAACTTGTCTCTTTCTAAACTGTCCCCTTAAAAAGAGACAAAGCCGCTTATTGTTAGCATTTTCACTATGCCTATTGCAAGATACAGAATTGATCCCCTGAAGTGGGCGAACTGGCAAGGGGGTTGTGAAATTTGCGGTAAGGGAAGCGAAAGCCCTTACGCCCATTTTTACTTTTGCAACTATTTCATTCTGCATTTTCCAACTCTGCCGATATAATTTCCACTGGTGCATGTCTGTGCTGTGCATTCTGATATCTAATTTATAACATTTACATTAACTATACATGAACAAAATTGATGTAAACATCATGCAGATAATTTATGTCAATGTAATTTTGAAATTCACAGCTCAATCCTGAAAAAAATAGGCGTAGCACGAACACGCACAGAGCGGAGACTTTATCGGCAGTGTCAGAAGATGCGTACCAAAGTAGTTTCGAAAGTAAAAATGGGCGTAAGGGCGCGCGAAACAGTTTCCTAAAACGGCGTCAAGTAAAACGTCGGCGTGGCCGCTCTCAGGTTTCTCTCTGGTTACAGTTACAGATGGGGAGAAAGTAACGAAGTTAAGTTAGAATTCCCGAAAAAATAAGTAAATAAATAACTGTAACTGTAACTTTGTTACAAGTGACGAGTTACTTCTCAACCCTGCCCTTTATCGCAAATGCAAAAACAGCCCTCCGGCTCGGTCCATAGTTTCTCAGGTCCATGTCGACCGGAGTCGCGCGGTATCGATCCTCGACGGATCCTTCGACCTGTCGCGCGGCTGGCGAGTAATCGCACGGGATCGACCGAAACTCGATTGACTGTTGACATGGTGGATGAGTCAGAGTGTGCGAGGAACGCACAAGAGGGGACTCTATCCGTGCGGTTGTGACGAACGTGCGCCAACGTGCACGCGAACGAATCCCGGAAATCGCCAAGTGCCGGAAACTCGTGTTCGCTGCCTCGTCCTGCCGATTGGTAAATTGGTACGCAGATTTAAAACGTCATAACGATTGTCCCGCGACACGCATCGCCTCACCTCGCCGCTTGGGTCGCGTGAATCATGCATACGTGTCGCGAGGAAGCGACATTACAGTTCGGATGACGTCACCGTTTAGACGCGGGTTTGCTGCGCGTCTGGCGGCTCCCAGTCTCCAGGGAACTGCGAAAACTAAATGACTGCTATTAAATTATTGTAAATGATGTTGTAATATCGTATGATCGATATGTGTATGTCGATAATATATCGCTGCGGTCGATCTGTAACGAAGCCCTTGCAATTGGTGGAAGAATTTGATTTCGTTTCTCGCATTAAAGTGGAAAATAAATTGTCTTTTATTTGAATTGGTGTTGGTATAGATTGACGATATATGCATATACGTGACTATAAATAATATAACAAGATTTGTCACTCACCTTTCATTCCTTTTAATTCCAGATAGAGCTCTTTTCGAGAGTTTTAAGATTTTAAAGAAATTTCTTCTTTTCCTCCAGCGAGAAATTGTCGATTGACGTCGATTCGACATCGTTTCGACATCGATTGACGAATCATTTCTCACTGGGCCATGTCTGTCTTTTGAAAAGGTACAATTCCAATTCTTTAAAAATAAAACAAAAATTACATTGCTTGAACAGACCCATTTGCGCGCACCGAACAAAGCCGAAGAGACTTAAGCGATCTTTTCTCTGCATTCTTGTACAACGATACCCAGTGAGACATGATTCGTCGAAACGATGTCGAGTCGACATCGACACCGTCAAATTCGACGTCGAGTCGGCATCAATTTGACGGTGTCCATGTCGATTCAACGTCGTTTCGACACCGATTGACTAGTAATTTTTCGCTGGGTAAATACATACATTTTTTAACAAATAAAAGTGTCTTTTGGACTTCTTCAAGCGGCCTCGTATTCAAGGTAGTGACACGACAGGTCGTTTATATTACACAAGGGCCTTGAAGGAGCGCAGAAATAATACACGTAAACACGTTAAACATAACAGAATAAGTAATATTGTCAAACATGTTTGCCTTAATTTAGGTCGGAAAAGTAAACACGTTCGTCAGAGACCAAACCTTTCCATGAGCGAGGAATCCATTGAGAAATGTCTGAATAATAATATAAGAGACAGATCTCGAAATAGTATACGTTTTCGTAAATATGTAACATCACTCTGTAAAAGCCAATCGGTGGATTATCAGTGCATATTCGCTGATTCACAGTTATAATGCACGGACTGACTCTTGGAGGGTAGATTTTACAATAATTCAACAGCAGACGTTCATTTAGAAAAGTTGGATCTATTGTTTTTTCAACATTAAATGATTTACTGTCGACCTTATCAGAGCTAATTAAAAATCATCGCACGTTAATCGCCTCCTCTTTCGCTCCCGACATTTTCTTCCTCCCATGCTTTCTACTCAAATTGCAATTTTATCCAGAGTTTTTTCTGCTATCGGACTCTCCTACTCGCTAACGGTGATTTATAGCAGGTAGCAGAAGTAAAAATAGCTGACTGTTCTACGTAATTTGATGACGTGGAATCGTTGATGATGCTGTCGAGTACGAGGAAAGCGCCTGGCTTGCTACATTTGTTTCTTTACATATAGTTACGTTTGTTGAACTTGCGAGAGAAAGGAAGCTTTTATTTATTTACGCTCTCGAAGCAATTCGCAAAAGTAATATTTAGAGTTTCATATTTTCCTCGAGGCGAAGCAAATCGATATTAAAATTACAACTTTGCGCGCGAGTTTATCGCTTTTGCCTCGCTTATTTTCAATTAATTCGGGAGAGGTGAGTTAAACGCACTCGTTTAAAATAATTTTTTAACTCCCAGAGGAGTACGCGCAACTTTAAGGAGATTAAGAAACCACCTGGCTAGACGTTCGATATCGCGTCTACTCACGAGATGCTTGATTTCGCTTTATTCGTTCTTATGCCGGTCGCCTTCATCGCGAGACTACGATATTAACAAGTTGTAACGTCCCCAACTATAGGATAATCCCGTAGAATAACCGGTTTTGCCGCGTAATATATCTTCACGCTTTTTCCTGTTGGTCTCCGTAGGAAGAATATTTTTGTACGGCGATGGATATAAACTTGATTGTATTGTGAGATAATAAATGTCACAGCGACGTATCTACAGTTTGGTTCAAAAGTGCGGCGTAAAAATTCACTAATTCGCGAACGAATAGGATTAAATACCCCTCGTGATACACGTTATAGCAGTCCAATTGAAATTCAGAATAATTGATCGATTAATATTTTTTAAAAAAAGCAAAAATTAGAACGCATTAGAAACAAATTTAAGTGCATTTGTTGCAAATATTCAACCAGATTAAGTTATCAAATTTTCCTCCCTTTTTCCTTTTTGGCCCTTTTGCCGAGCTTCGTCTTTTCTTCTGCCCACTTCTCTATTTGTTCTTCCTCGTGTCTTTTCCGCGCCCATGAAGGATCGTTAAGGCAAGTGCACGCCAAAAATGTAGATAAAGCGCACCTGCACAAATGTTTGCCCGATTACTTATGGAAATTAAAGTGGAGGGAAAGTGTCAGTACGTTTATGAATTTAACCTTGCACTGGGCAACTGGTTTCTTAGAACTGGTTTTGTACTTTGTAAAAATAAAATCCTTGGCTCAGTAGGATCTTTCGAAAGGATACCAAAGGACCGAAATATAATTCCGTGCTGTAACTTCAAGATTGCTGTAATTAGCAAGTGGGTAGAAACAAAATTGACCCACGCGCGGAACGATGTGAAAAATACAGCCGACAAAATCAGCGGTATAGATGGTGAGCCACTTTGGTGCTGCAAATACTTCGAAACGTTCTGTTTTTCTTGCCTCTTGATAAAGAAAGTAGGAGGAGAGGAACAACTTGGTGTTTTTGCAGCATCGAGTGGGCCGTAGTTTAGGGCCAGTTTCAAAAACGTCGGTTAGAGGCTGAGAATCAGTTAGCATCCAGTTAGTAATTAACTGACGTTTCTGAAACTGGCCATTATGCCTATTTCTACTAATGCAGATTAATTTTA